TCCGTTGTCTCAGGCTGCTGAGCTACAGTAATTACAGGGTGTCTTTCTTTTTTTAAACACAGCTCCGGCAACGGGCTTGTTGCACAGTAATACCTGCAATTGCGCGGTCAGGCGAGGTTGACAGAGGTCGCTCGATCGCAAATGAGGTTGCGGGGTTCTTTTATCGCCGGTAACCAGTTATATTGTCCGTGGTCCGCTCTGAATTCTAATGCCGTTTTAGGAGAGGCAACCGTAGCGCAGGGGCCAGCAGGCGTGATGTTTCCATGCAGGAATTGTGTCCACTCTGTTTCAAAGCGGGATTCTGCTGTAGCGGATCCTACAAGTCTTGAAGTGATTTGCCAGCAAGAGGGTCAGTTGAGCAATTAAGGGCCGATTAAGTCGTCAAGGCTGGGTCGAAGTTCTGCAAAACCACGGGACTGAAGGGGACAGGCTGCCTGCTCCTGCTGCGATGGAGGTGTTGCCTCTTCAATCTGCGGTAGCCGCACCAGTGCACTCCACTGCTGAATTTAAACACATCCACCAGCTAACTTATATTTAGTCTGTGGCTGATTCCATAATCATCAGTGAACTGCGGATCAGCGCTAAATCAGGACTATGATTTATGGACAGAGAAGTGAGGGGGAGACAGTGTGAAAGTGAAGGAGGGAGAGAGTGAGGGTGCTCGCAACGTGTTGAGAGAGATGGAGGGAGACTATGTGTGTGTGACAGGACAGGGCCTGCTGTTGGAGAAGGGGGGGGTGTTATATGGCCACATCCGACTGCTGTCATTTTTCCTGAGTTCAGCTGTCTGTTAGCTGTCTCTACTTATTCTCTCAAACGCCCCTCTCTCCCTCTCTCCCTCTCTCCCCTCTATAACCTATGACTCCCATCTTCCAACTGCCACTGCATCCTAGGCCGGCATTCACAGAATCCCACGGCAGCACGCAGGCTTGTAGGAAACACTTCCAGCAGCACCAGCAGGCTCCTCTGCTGATGATAAGACATACCCGTGCTGTACGTGTGCTTATGTATTGGTATTTGAGATTATCAGCCATGGATAACGGACGATGTCTTCGGGCAAGCGTGCACATTGTCTAACACACCGATCAGCGTTTTCGCCAGGCCTGCTGGTGAGGGACGGGGTGTTTTTGTGGCCGGTGTATTTGAGAGGGTGCGACACATCTACACGGCCAAGCCAGTGCCATTCGGATGATGCCAGTACCATCTGCAGCCATGACTGTGTTGCTGTATACTGTCACCTCTTGTATTTAACATCAATGCCCAGTGCTGGGTGGCACGGTGACACAGTGGTGCTGGGGCCCTGGGTTCCAATTCCCAACCAGGGGTGCTGTCTGTGTGGAGTTTGCACGTTCCCCCCATGTTCGTGTGGGTGCCCTCCAGGTGCCCTGGTTTCCTCCTACAGTCCGAAGACCTGCTGACAGGTTAACTGGCTTCTGGGAAAACTGGCCCTCGTGTGAGTGTGTGTGTGTCTGTGCGTGCCCTGCAATGGACTTGTGTTCTGTCCAGGGAGAACCCTGCCCTGTGCCTGCTGCTTTTCGGGACGGGCTTTGGCTCTGCTGTGACCCTGGAGGGGCAGAAGCCGTTAGAAAACAGACAGATGGATCAATGCAGGATGCAGTTTAGCCCCTGTTAATTACCCGATGCTTTAAAGTGGGTTGTGAGGAGGATTATATTGGAACTGGGGGACTGCTGGACTGCTACTCACACATGCATCCTAACCATAGAAGCACCCTCACTTTCTAACACACATCTCCCCACATCTCAGGGCCACATCCTTTAGAAACACACACACCCCCCCTCCTGCCCCGTGCTCCGCTGGAGCCCATCTGGAGTGAAGACCCAGAGAGAGTTCCTGCATGAGGGGGGGTCGGACTTGGCCGACTGGTGCCGCAGCAGGCTGGGGCGCCCCAGGCGGCCTGTGATGAAGTGGGGTGATTAACCCAGACTGACACGGGCTGCAGGCCTTTTCCCTCACAGGCGCTCAGGGAAGTGCACGTGTTGTGGAGACATAGCAGCTGCAGAATTCTGTGCCCGTGTCACGTCAGCGTTTAGTGAGGGCTCTACAGCGTTCGTGTTTCAGCAGAGGGGCCACTGGAAAAGCAGAGTTGATCAGTCCGATTACCGCAGGGGGCTGTAGTAAAAGCACAGTACGATAATCGGGTTACACCGGGAGGCCGTCGAAGAGACATCGGGAGCGAGGGTGTGGAACAGTAACATCGCAGCTGGGAGTCATGATGGAGGTTAGGGAAACACAGTGGAGTAGATGAGTTACGACAGGGGGCCGAGTTAAAGGGCTCTGGACTTGCGAGAGGTCACCAAGATGAGCGCTTACGGGATGTTTCAGTAAACAAGCCGGTCTGTTCTGGTGATGCCGCTGGCCCGTGGCGCTGGTGGTGGACGGCACCGGAAAGCAGCCTTCTGACAGCAACTCAACCGGATGACCGCCCACGCTCTGGAGGACGTCTCCTCCCCCCCCCCCCAGAAAACCAGCCTGGAGAGGAGAGGAGAGATCTGGGGCGTGCGGTCTGTTTCGGGGGGGGCGCCCCCTTGCAGCAGTGCTCGGGCTCCCTGTAGCTCCGTGTTGGCCGTGCGCACCTGCTCACTCACGGCCAGCGAGATCAGAGCAGGGCTACGGTACAGTGCTGCCCAGCCAGGCCAGGGCCAACGGGCCTGAACTGCTCAGAGGAAGAAAAGATGCTAGCGCAGTTACAGGAAGGCTCTCCCGATCTAAATGTCAGGGAGAGAGACCGGCGTGCCGTTCTCCGTCTGATTGACTGGCTGCTATAAGCACTTGGCCCTCCCCCGCCGTCTCTACAGTGCTTTCCAGCCGGAGGTTAATGTCCCTCTTAGCAGCCGATCCTTCAAAAGTCTTTGGATCCGCGTCGCTTCCTAATTAAATATCCCCCTTCTGTGGCTCTTTTGGTTAAGTGAAGCAGCCGGCTCCCTGCCAGCGCGGCCCCTCACACCTCCACACATCTCGAGAGCGGCGACAGGGGTCGGCTCCACTCTCTTCTCCTTTCGAGACGAGTGCCGCTGTGAGGATCGAGCCAGTGTGGATTATTCGCGCTTTCCGAAGCGGCGGCGTGGAATCTTTTCAGTGCTAAAATAAAGGAAACTGGGGACGGGGACCAGCAGGGGGTCTCGGAGCAGCGACGGACGTCCAGGTGACCTGTCACCCCAGCACCAGGATAACAGGGTGCCAGGCCCTAAGGTGACAGGGGCACACGTATCACAGATCAGTGGACTCTCCATCGGATTCCACTAAATTATTCATCACATCATTCGGAATTGATGAGCTCAGCCCATTCAAAGTAAGGGGGTTGTCAGTGGGCTGCCGGCTTGATGTAAACTCCCTGTTCATCACGTTCATCGTCTTCCCGCACTCTCGAGTTCTTTAAAATCCTGCTCCTGCCCAGCGCTTCCGACTGCAGGGGGGGGGGCTGGGCTGGGCTGCCGGGGGCCAGGTTCTCGATAAAGGAGGCCGAGAGGGCCGTCTCCCCTCCCGAGGGCACGAGTCCTGGTGGCAGGCCGTGACAGCGTCGCCTCGCCCTGGCTGTGCCGACGGCCTCTTCCCCCTGTGCTGGGCCTGGCGCTGTCTCCGAGCCCTCGGAGCGAGGCTGACCGGAGGGCAGTGGCCTGCTGGTCAGTGTCTGTCGCGTCTCCCCTGTGTGGTGCAGGTGTTCTCCGGGGCAGTGGCACCATACGAACACAAGAGAGGAAAGGCCTTTCGCCCAGTCTAGCTTGGTAGCTATCGCCAGTATCGGGGGATCTCATCTCTTCTGTTCTTGAAAGCAGGCAGGGTGCCGGCTCCATCTACATGGCTGGGTACCCTGTTCCACGCTCCTGCAACCCTTAGTGGAAAAAGTGCCTCCTGTTCTCAGATCTGACCTCACGGCGCCTCTTGGCGGCATCACTGCACTGAACTGTACTAATTGCATGATCATATGTGCTGGTGTCCCTCACCAAAACACTGAGGATGCTCCCACTGAGACCAAAACCCCTACTGCTTCCACGGTGTTGCAGTGTTTCAAGCACTCTTCACCTGTTTATCGACTCAGGGACCTGTATGGATTTCTGTTGTCAGCTGGTGCTCAAGCGACTTTTTCATTTTGCTGCGTTAGGGTTTTTAGAGAACAGCGTGAGTCATTAATCCCAGCAGGATTCGTATGGACACTGAGGGCCCGTGTGTGTCGTGCTATAGGTGGGAATTGTCTTTAAACCCTATCCAAACGGCCGCAGAGCTTTTCCTGTGGAAAACCGTGGGATAATCGGAGAGCGGCGCAGTCTGTGTGGTCAAATCTTTTAAGGGCGCAGCCAAAATGAGGTCAATTAGACTTAATGCAAGGGAAAACCGTGGCAGCAGACCAGATTGCCATGCAAATTTACCACGGTGTATTTCCACGCCAATTAAGCAATGACACTGGTTGCACCCGTTTATTACTCCTGCTCAGCGTTGCCGATTTTGAAGGATGAGGTCTCTTCCCAAGCTGAGAGCAGGCTGGAGACCGCGCACAGACCTCCAACAGGCGAAGCAGCTGCTCTCTCGGAAGCTGTTAAAAAGGTGTCATAATAATCACTCAAGTACCTGAGGGGCTTGGCACAAGGCCTCACGCGTAGCCTGGGTGGGAGGGCTGTGCATCGAAATCTGCCGTGGCCGAGACACTTGTGGGCTGTGGTTTCTCGACTCGTACGGTGGTCTGAGCACAAGAGAGGTTCGGTGACTCCTTTAGGGTGACACTCACACACACACACACTTGAGTCTTTTCCTGTTGACAAACCCCCTTTACCTTAGCAACAACAGCCTCTAGTTGGCACAGTGTGTAATGAAAATCAAATCAGAAGGAAAAACTGTGAGGCAGCCCCTGCCTGATGATTGGATGATTGGCCATGGGTCTCTCTCTTTCTCTGTGATGTGGTGGTCTCTCTCTTTCTCTGTGCTGGGATGGTCTCTCTCTCTCTCTTTCTCCTTGTGTCTCTTCCTTAACGGCCCCCGTCTCCACCTGGTTCGAGCACATCAGCATGATGGTCATCCTGCTGAACTGTGTCACCCTGGGGATGTACCAGCCCTGCGAGAACATCGACTGCTCCTCGGACCGCTGCCAGATCCTGCAGGTAACTCTCCGGCCCGCACGGCTTTTAAAACCGGGACTCTCTGGCGGCCGTCCCCCAGCTCTCCGGCAGGGGAAGGGGAAGGGACTAGTTGTTGCTGGGGTGGTGGGTACGGGAGTTGTGGTCTTCATCTGAGATCCTTGACCAGGAGGGACCAGGCCTGCAAGGTGACGGTCCAGTCAGGTCGTGCCAAACCCAGCTTTCTGTAGATCCAGATCCACAAGGTGGATTCCCAGAACCAGGGCTGCTGACTCCTGCTCCAAAGCTCCAGATCAGACCAGGTTTAACAGATGACCAGGCTGCTTGGGCAAAATTCTGGGTCCAGAGATTTCCTTCAGGTGTGGGTGCTGAGATCCTCTCAGCTCACACCAGTTGGAGGCTGCTGTTTGTTTCCAGTGTTCCCTTCAAGGCAGGTGTCACCCACTGTTCCGAAACCTCCTCGAAGCCGGTTCTTGTGTCTCAGTTTCTCGGGATCAAGCTGGTAGCCTGGGCGGGATGATTCCTGCAGCTACCCAGGGTGAGGCTGCTGGTGGTGGCTCTGTCTCTGCAGGGCTACATCACAGCATCGAACTGGGACGCCCCGAGTGTGGGGGTTTTCCATCAGAGGGGACGCAACGAGGAGGCCCTTGCCGAGCAGCACGGAGCGGCAGAGGTGACCCTCTGCCTCAGCTGCTGGGCTTCTTCCACTCCGGTCCGTGATACGATTTGGCAGAGGAGATCAGACTCCCGCTGCCCAGGTACTCTTGCTCAGGCAGGGGCGGCTGGAGCAACTGTGTGGTGGCACCCATGTCCGAGCTCCCTCCCGGGCAGCTGAAAAAACCTGGGAAGTGACAGGCTGGCCTTCGAAATCGGCAGGGTTCCCAGTTTTCCAGCTTCAGACGCCCTCCAGAGACGAGGTGGTCCCGTCCTGACCGGAACGTGGAAAAACAGATTGTTCTGTACAGTGTGGCACTGGGTGGCTGATGACCCTACAGTACAGTCAGTTTACGGGAACAGTCACTTGTTATTTTCTCACGAAAGCAATCAGGGCCTCTTGTATCCAGTAATCCCTTTGAATGCCTCCAAGTGATATCCACGCCATTTAGTAGCATTCGTATTCGCCCTGTTTATAGACAGGCTGAGTCATGACGCAAAGCTCTGTATTAAGCGGCACTTTTATCAGGTTCTAATGAAGTGACACAAGAAAACTGCACTGAATAAACTGTGCACACTGGCAGAAACCAGGGAGAAAGAGAAGGTTCTCACCTCAGATGATCAAATTAAAGGTACTGCGTGTGGGAAGCAAATGGCCTGGGAAATTAAAAGAGTGGAAAGCGGATTATGTGCGGGTCGCCATTTTGTAAGTTCATTCTGAAATGCGTCTTTTGTGGAAGGAGTGCTTCGCGACTGTGCTTCACAGTTACTGACCAACTGGAAAAAAAGCATAAGGACTTGTTTTGGATCAATGAGGTTGTGGGGACCATATACGTTTTATGGTTTGGAAGTTGTAAGCCTCGTTATAAGTCTTTCGGTTCTGTGCTTCGTTCTCCTGCCTCCCTCCACAGCATCGTGAGCGTGAATCCTTTTCAGTTTGAAAATGCCAGCAAGAGTACAGTAAATCACACTTCCTG